CATTACCAGCCCATTCCCCTCTTCTTCTGCACCAGCAAGGTCAGGAACATCTTATCTTTGGCTAGCACAACAAACAAAGCAATCTCCTCCAAAGCCTCGCTGTGTAGTTTAGCTCACGGGGAGCAGGGCTGGATGGTTAGGCACTATCCATTCTCCCTTTCCCCATCACTTCATCTCACTCGCTCTGCCCTCGCTAATCAAAAGAAAAGGGCCAAACTGTCTCAGCGCAGATTAGCAAACCAGCCTGGGGTATGAATGGCCCCCTTGCAGCAAGCGCTGTTCCAAACTCCTCTCATGGACGCTGCTCAGGCTGGGGGCTGTTTTGGTTCAACCCAAAACGTGGGACTGGTTGGGTGAGAGCAACTCCCGGAAAGATCGAGCAGAGTTTTTCACCCATGACGCCCGGGTGAAAAGGACTAACCAAGACACTGCAATGCCACCCCACCGGTGCCCTTAACAGTGCCACTGCCTTCCCAGGATGGGCGAACGCACCGCCGTCGCGGCATGCTACACGGAACCCGGCGCAGGCTTCTCGCAGAACATCTCAGCTCCTCTACAGCCCGTGTCTCTCCTCGCTAGGAACGCTGGGGCAAGAGCCAGGGTCTTGCTCCTTTGCGAGTGTCATTGAAAGCATTCAGGAGCGGCCGGAGGCCAGCTGTGGCAGCTGGCGCCCCAGGCGGAAGGCGTGATCGGTGCCCCCGCCTGCACGGCCGTCAATGGCCGTGACATCATCATCGGGTGCCCGGGCCAGCGGCGCCATAGGCAACTGCCTAGTTCACCTAGGCTCACAGGCCGCCCCTGAAAGCATTACTGGCAAAAGGAGTGGGATTCGCAGGGCCCGGTTTAGCCACAAAACAGGCAAGGCATGGGACACGCAACAGCAGTGTGGACTTTTCCACCCTGCCCTCCGACGGGCTTCAGGCTACACCTGGGAGGCAGCGGGTTCTCTGCTGAGACTATCAGCTCGGTTGACTGTTCTGTGAGGGGGGTCCTGCCCTTTTCCTCCCCCCACTGCATTTGCATAAGAACAGCCATACTGAGTCAGTCCAATGTCCTGTGTTCCAATGCCAGATGCCCCGGAGGGAGTGAACAGAACAGGGAATCATCAAGTGACCCCCTCCCCTGTCACCCATTTCCGGCCCAGACAAACAGAAGCTAGGGACACCATTCCTACCCATCCTGGCTAATAGCCAGTGATGGACCTATCCTTCATGAATTGATCTAGCTCCTTTTTGAATCCCGTTAAAGTCCTGGGCTTCACAACATCCTCTGGCAAGGAGTTCCACAGGTTGACCGTGCACTGCCTGAAGAAAAACTTCCTTTTGTTTTAAATCTGCTATGTATTCATTTCATTTGGCAACCCTTAGTTTGCCACCCGTTCAAAGCCAGACAAGGTTGATAGTGACAGAGAATTGTTTATCGTCCATAAACTCTGTACGAGGCAGGGACTGTCTTTTTATTCTGAGTTCGTACAACCAGGACCTGCCCCATGAGTGAAGCTCCCAAGCCCATCCCGCAAACAATAAGAGGAACAGTAATAATCCGACAACAGTCAAGGCTCTCCAGGCATGAGCTACGTGGTGTCAGTCTTTGCTAGTGCAGTGCCTGAGAGAGAAAAGGCACCGTACGTCTGAGCCCTCCAGTGCCCTGCCCTCATAAATCTTTCATTTCTTCTCACCTCTAACATCAACTGGGTGAACTCCTCATTGCTAAGAAACGAAGGCTTCCAGTCTTGCCTAATCTCACAGGCCTCGGTCTGTGCTGTGATTTCTGAAAGAGAAAACAGCAGAGGAGTGACAGGACTCACTTCAGCCGGGTTGCTTTTCATTTCTGAGGTAACCCTAGACCTTTCCCGAAGGGCTCCGATGGACTTCACCTTCCGGGGCCCTCCTAAATAGAAGTCTCGGGTCCATCGTTGTACGGATGTCACTGGGAAGATCAAGAAAAGGGGCAGATATAAAGGAGGTGTGAGAAGAAATAGTTTTAAAATGAAGGTCAGGGCCTGAATTCTGTGGTCAGAGTAAACTCCTCTCAGAGCGCAAGGTTACTCCAGACTAAGAGAGCTACGGTTGGCAGAAATACTTGACCTCAGATCTGAAATTACCTCCCAAGGAGGGAGAATTACTCAATTCATGGTGCTGTCCACACCTATTCAGGGCAGATGCAGCACAGGCGGCCACCTGAGGCATCCCCTAGCCATTGTGAGGCCAGACGCCAGCTGTCCCTTGTTCAGCTGGTGGGTGACATACTCCATAAGGCTCCAAGCAACTGGATATGGAAATACCTTCCCCCCACATGACACAAAGTTCTTCTGAGGCCTTTGCCTGGTAGCCACTGGCTTGCTCTGCTTGGTGCGTAACCTCAGCTCCTGCGCAGAGGGATGAGGGATAGCCCTGAAGTGAGTCCTCTGGTGCCCTTTCCCCTAGGGTCTGTCTAGACTGCATCCTTCTGTCAGCAGAGGGATGCAGATTAGGCAGGTCGACATCGCAAATGAAGTGGGGATTTAAATATCCCGTGCCTAATTTGCATAAAAATGGCCACCGTTTTTGCCAACTCAGCACTTTGTTGGCAAAAAGCAGCAGTTTAGAGGGGGATCTGTGGAGAAAACATGCCTTTTTCGACAGATCCTGTAAACCTCCTTGCAGGAGGCAAGGGAAAAAGGCGTTCTTTCTTGACAGATCCCCCTTTAGACTGCTGCTTTTTGCAGACAAAGTGCTGAGTCGGCAAAACGGTGGCCATTTTTATGTAAATTAGGCACGGGATATTTAAATCCCCACTTCATTTGCGATGTCGACCTGCCTAATCTGCATCCCTCTGCCGACAGAAGGATGCAGTCTAGACATACCCCTACTGACAATCCAGGGAAGGTGGGGAGGAAAAACGAGTCTTGGCAGGTCTGTGGGGGAGAAGCGGGAGAAGGAAAGAAAGAGGTGGGAGTCAGGAGAAAGCAAACAGCAAAGGGGCCATGGGGAGGAAGAGATATGGGTGCAAAGAGTTTGCGGAGAGAGACCGGGTCACGGATCACATAGCAGGGTCCAGGACATCTGGGCGACAGGGAAGCGATGGAGAACTGGACACCAGAACCTAGCAGAGCAGCAAGGGAGGGAGAGAAGAGGCAGGGCAAAGAGGATTCAAGGCAGAGCAGAAGAGGCAATGGGATGACACAGAGAGGAACAAGGAATTAGAAAATGTAGAGGGGAGACAGGGACCTCCTTAGGCTTTATGGGGCTCTAGTGCTATTACATGGGTGCCTCATGGCAGCCCGGGGTAAGGATGGCCCTGACTGGGGAGCAAGGGACAAGGAGAGGGAAGCAAGCCAAGAGATGCAAGGAACTAGGGAGGGCAGAGGTGGGACTAGAGTCTGTAATTAGACACCCGGTGAGGTTCTGGCCTAGGGTTGCACATTACAGCATCCGGGCCCCGAGAGGTATCTTGCCCACCCCGGCTAGAGGTTGAATTCTCTGATGCAGCGTTACACCACAAGCTGTGCCTGCCTGTTAAACCACAACCCCTCCCCCTCCTGCATCCCAACTCCCTCCCCCAGGTCACCATCCAAACCCTCTGCCCCCCCGCTACCCTGCCTGTGGTGTAACACTGCGTCGGAGAATTCAGCCTCTAGCCCAGGGCTGGGCAAGATTCCTCTCCCGGGCCGGATCTGGCCGGCCAAGACAACGGGATG